GTTCGGGAAGAACAATACTAAGGAAGGGGCAGTGTTACGACGCTGGAGTTTCTAGAAGGATCATGACTGTTCCTGGCAACTCTAATCTTTTCTAGGCGCCCTCTGTTTTAGTATATAAGCCCGGCAAATAAAGTGGAGATATAATGGCAGATAGACAAATATAGAGACAGGTAATTGAGTCAAGTGAGCTGTAGTAACCGTAAGTAAAATGCGTGAATCGTTGTGAATTATAGCGTATGCTGAAGTTAAAGTGACTGTGGAAATTCTGTGTATTGTAAAGTTGTAATGTGAAAAAATAAAATAGTTTTAGTTAAGAAAGGACTTGTATCGCTGAAGTTCCTCGGGAAGAATTTTTACTGGAAATTATCCAACAAGCAGATACGTAACAGTTGGTTAGTTGCCTTCCCTCTAATGTATCATTTTAAAATTTGGGACAGCTAGCGCTGAAAGCCCTCGAGCAGCTTTACGCCAAGTTAAAACAAAAAACAGAACCTTTCCATCATTCTTTTTAACGAATAATCAAAAGGAACTTACCCAACAGTAGATACCGTAGAAACAGTGGAAAATAAAATACAATTTACATATTTTAGAAAGGCACATTGTTTGAACAATTGGGAATTTTCGAAGAATGATATATAAATATTTATTAAAGCATAAACTAAAAATTAATTGTGGCGCATTTTCAAAAGGTAATGTACTTTCTTCTAAATTGGTAAGAACTTACGCTGGTCTTAATTTTTAGAAATATTTAGCCCAATCAGCACTTAAACGTTACTCTCTTCAGAATGTTTCTTCCAAACTTCCGGTAAGTGAAGCGAAATCGCACGTCTAGTGAATATGGCCATGGCGAATATTGATCAGTATTGTCCCAGTATGAATGTGAGGTTGTTTATAAACAAGGCAAAATCGTACGAAATTTGAAAATCTAGAAATTTTGACCTTTGACGTAGATAGAATTTTTGTTATTAATGAAGTAATTACTTGTGTATTACAGTCAGTTTTGCAAGTTAGTATTACAATTTATAGTTCTACAGCTAATTTTACCTTGTTTGTTATTATTAATAAAACTTAAATTGCTATGAATCGAAACTCGAATTTTAGTGTTATACTATAACTATACTATACTATAACTTATAGATCCTTAAGCTTATTGTTTAGAACTAAAACTACTAACTGGTTTTATACAATTCATTATCACCAATGAAGTCCACTTAAAAATTAACTGATAATGTATCTTGTTTACTTTAACATTAATTTATGTTTCACTTGTTACAAGATTTTGTATAGACAGATGACAAAAAATTAAGTAAAATACATTAATTGATAAAAAAACCAGCTAAAGATATGGGGGATAAAGTTACCCGCCCATCATAAACAGCAATATTTAGGGTATTTGTGTTTATATTTTTTTGCATTACTACCTTTTTAGGGATCTTACAAGTTCCATTGTAATTTAATATAACTTATAAGATGTAACAAATAAATAAAGTCATGGATCCACAAGCAATTTGATTTAGAAATAGATTACAAAAGGGTACTTTAGAAAGCTGATGTGGTCCATGTTCCCTGTCACTGTCAATAATTTCAGTGTTACTGTTAGATGTATTTTATAGACCAGTGGTCGGCAACCTTTTTTGATCGTGGGTCAGTTATATTTTTTTTGAAAAATTTAGTATTGTGTTGGGTCAGTGATAATCATATAATTATTAATACCGGTACATGTATATTAAATGTGTATGTTTATTTAAATACAAAAAAATTAATAGTTTGACCAGTTTGATATTT